GTGGTTTTTTATAAAATGGAGTACTACTCAGCCATAAAGAACAAGAAACTAGAGACATTTATAGGTAAATGGATGCATACTGAGGCCATACTCTTAAGAGAAATAAATAGGACCCACATGTGTAAATACCGAATACTATCTCTAGTGTGAGAAACTGAAAGTGTAAATAAGGATTAAAACATTCCAAATGAATACTTGATAATTTGAAATAGGAAGAAAAGGTTCAAGGGGGTAGGGGAAGTGGGAGGGGCAGGGGAAAGAAAAGAAGGGAAAGGAAAAATTATGAGAAAAGAAAAAAATGGAAACAAAGTCTTTGTAAATAGGGAAGGGTGGAGGGGGTGAAGGGCGCACAGGTAATGGGGAACAAAATAAGAACCAAGATACGTCATGTACAGGTACAAGCACCCAATGATGAATGTAAATGTATTGTGTACCTACAATGTACCAATAAAATAATTTAAGCAAAAAAAAATGCTTTCTACATTGCCAAGTGCTTTACAAATCTTCATTGTAAGAATTATCAGTGGGCCTAAGAGAACAGTCATTTTGAGGAGAAAGATTTTCTTCTCGGTAAACAGTCACACATTCTTTATCTGAAATACAAATACCCTGAGCTGTAGAATCATGCTGACTTCCATTCCTCTGTGTGCTGGTGACCAATACAGTATCAGATGACAATGTGAAGACTCTTACAATTCTAAACTATTTAATAAAGATAAACTCATGCTCAGTGATATCATCAAGTATTATTTGTTTTATTTAAAGTAACACAAGTGGCACATGATTCTGCCACTTAAGAGGCTTTTCTGTACATCTCTTGTATTTTCTAGTAGTTAAAAAGAGTATATTGAGAGTAAATGGGAAGCTCTATTTGGAAAGCCCAATAATAACTTAATACAGCCTTTTTCCCTGAAAAAATTTAATACAGTGTTAGATTAAAAATATTTCTTTAAAAGGCACTGAGCCATTGGTAAGCTAATTTCCAGGGAAGAGCAGCTTAATATTATCTTCTCTTAGTTCCTTGGCATGAAGAAAAAAGCAGTGATTGAAAACTCTCAGAGAATTTTAAGAGACTTCTGGTCCAAGCCAAGAGGCATCTTTGCTTGCATTAATCCAGCTCCAATCCAAGTGGTAAGAGATTTACATTTATGATGAGTTATAGAAATACAAGCTATTTCCCAGCAATTTTCTAAAAGAAAGGAAATAGATGATCTATTTTTAATGGCACATAATATAGGCAGCTGCTAGGTGGATTTTACTTTGCAAGTCAATTTTTGAGTCTTAGATAATGAATACCCATTGTGTGCTTGAATATAAATAATGTCACAATAATACACAACCAGCAGCAACTCTTGCAATACCCAGTTCAATGTTTTCCAAATTATGGTCCTTGAACACCCACATCAGAATCACCTTGGAGGTCCTGTGAAAAGCATATCACAGGCAGGAGGGACCAGTATCTTGGGGAGTGGGATTGGGAAAGAAAGCTGCATTTTCTGTAACATTTAAGAACCATGGTCCTACAATATTAAATTTAGGACCAATAATTCCTGACTTGTTTGTTAACACTCAACAACAGATTTTCAAATATATCTTTTTTTCCTTCCCTTTTTATGAGTATATGCTTGAGATATATAATAAATACATTCATTGTGGTACTGGTGCATATACATATCATATCTTGACCCTTTTTACTTCCCTTTCCCCTCCTACCCCTCACCTTCCCATATCCCTAGGTTCCCCAAAACTCAAAATTTTCAATTAAGGAAAAGAAAAAGAAGATACAGAAGAGATTACATCATATGATCATGGTACTTCTGGAAGGGGATGATCACAGACAAAATGCTCAACATTAATCCTCACTATTCCTAGTGACTCAATCATGTGAAAGGAAATAAGGGAATTAGCTGAGGGAACATACCTCAAACACAATGATGAAAGCCAGCCGGGCTGCCAGGACATGCCAGAACTGCAGCGTGTAGCCATAGGGCACCAGCGCGTGAGGAGAGTCGCGGTAGTCTCGGTATCTGCAAACACACAGGAGAATGCTGCAGGCCAAGTTAGGATTTTCCTAATCCTCAGAGTTCTTCCATTCCCACCAGGGAGTCTGCATCATGGGAGCAGAGTTTGGTAAGTCTGGCTATACTGGAGAGCCATTGTTCTGTTTGTCCATTTCTTCTTCTGGTAACAGCTCAGCTCTTTTCCTCTGGGGACTTTTCCACAGGGTCAGCGATGGCTCCCTCCCTGACCTCAGCTCCAAAGACAAGCCACACCTTATCCATGAGACTCTTGGCCAGGATTCCTGACAGATTGCTAATGAACTGCCATCAGCCCATAGAAGGTAAAAGGCTGGCACTGCTGGTGGCCATTATGAATTGGAGGGAGAGAGAGAGAGAGCATGCGCTGGAGAACAAGGAAGAGGACCAAGCAGGGCCACCGAGAGGTGGTGGCATTGGGCTGAGCCTGGTTCAGTGTTGGGATCCACTTTTTACTAGAATTCATATCATTCCCTGGCTCTCCTGGTTGCCGGAACCAATACATTTCTTTTGCTTATATGTGTTTACAACGGATTTCTGCCACTTGCCACTAAAGAGCCCTTCCTAGTGCCTCCTCCTTGATGCTAACTGCTGAGTCAGCATCAAGTTCTACAGATGTTTGCTGAGCACTTACTTGGGCTCAGGCACTATTCTAGGAACTTTAATCTATGTGACTCCATGGTTCAAATTCCATGGAAACTTATGACATTGAGGAGTCACTTTTCAGTTTTTCCACCTGTGACAATGCTGGTGGTTATGGTAAGGATAAAATGGAGTCACACATTCTTTTCATTAGCCAATGTTCTTTTCATTAGCTTCAGAAATTTAGAATAATGTGGAAATACTATACTGGCGATTCAAATATTTTTGCTGAGTACATACATCAAATTGTCTCATCTAAATAAAAGTTATGATAATTCAGGTTCTCATCTAGGATAGCATCTAACCTTAAGGTTAGCACTGATTTGCATATGAGGATACAGAATAATTACCTACAAGGAGCCTCTGAAGTGTATCCAGGACTACAAAACATGAACTGACATCATCACCCCATCAAAGTCATCATCTTCATTGTTATTAGTGTCTATGGATTGTAGTAATAATGGATCATCATTACCATTGAAATATTTATATTAATATCTGGTCCTGAGTTTAAGAATGAATCAATGTGTGGTTTCAAGCCTCTGGTTCGCTCTGTGGTGATGAGGATTAGGCAATCATCTAAGACACTGTCCTGTTATGGTCATAAAATCTGTTTTTGTCATAGGTCCGATAACTGCATAGAATTTAGGAAGAATAATTTTATTCAGCACTCAAAGTTTGCAAGGATTATTCTAACCTTCGTTCACTTTTTCAGAGGACAGCTATTCAATCACCAGGAATTGTGTTTTCTGCAATAAAGATAACAAATGTAATTCCTTTGCTCACCTTTATCTAGTTCAGATATAGTCCAGATAAATAGAAGAAAAGTAATAATATGCTGTTACTGTACATATGGATGATTATTACACAAGGTATATTTATAATAAGAGGGACCTCAGACTAGTTCCAGAGTTATCTTTATTTACTCCATAAATTTTTCAGAATAAGGTGTTCACTGCAGCTGAGAATTCTTTTGTGGGTATCAGTTTTCCCTACAGTCTGTCTGTCTTACCTTCCTCTAAGACGCTGGACTCTTGGTCTTTTTGATGGGGTGCTGGATGATTGTTGCCCATGATCTCAGTTCCTGCTCCAGCCTGCCCCTCACCCCACTGGTCTCATCCATTAGACAGAGGTGTGGAAAGGATCACGTGCATGTGCCATTTGGGGTGCTAGGGAACCAGCCCAGGACCTGCCACACCCAGCCCCATTTCTCTGCTTTTGATGTGGTGCTGTTTATTTGCAAGCTGACTGGCTGCCTGTTCTCTGGCACTTGTACAAAGAAAACACGACCCTCTGCTACTATAGAAACAGCCATGAACCCCCATCTCAAAGCCAATAAAAATCAAAGTTTTATTCCTCTCCTCTTCAAAGACAACATATAGTCCAGTGACATCAATATTTGGAGGAAAAAATTCCAAGTGTCTCAGAGTTGTTTTCAGAAAGTGACACTTTTAATTTCTTGGGTTCAGTTTTACATGCAAGAAGGTAGAGTATTCATTTTGGCTTGAGTTAGTGTATTTCCTAAAGCTCCCCTGTTTCTCAAGAAATGGATGATGAGCCTGCAAACATTATTTTCCTAGCTCCAGGGACAGTTAATCTATTCCCATGTTAAGCTGTGAGAATAAAAACAGATGTAGATTTGAAGGAATGCTAAGCGAATGTCACCAAACCTCACACAAGTTAAGATACAGAACATGACTGAGGCCGTAGAAATACCCGCTGCCATTCCCTGCAGCCCAAGAGACAGCTGTTTGTCTAGTATCTGTGACCATTCTCTTGCTTTTCCGTAGAGTTTTACCACCCATGTAGGTTTTCCTAAATAAAAAGGCTTAGTTTTTCTGCTCTAAACGCTATACAAATGGAGTCATATTGTATATATTTTTCTATGATTGCATCTTTCATTATTATGCAATATGGTTTTGAGTTCTCAATTTTATTCCATGTTCTATTTATCAGGTCCTGTGATATCACCATCTCCCACCCTATCATTATTCTTCAAAGTCATCTTGACTGTTCTTTACCCTTTGCATTTCTATCCATTATTTTGATTCTTGGGTACAAGCATTGGTCTAATCATAATTCTTAACTTTTATAACCAATATTATTGGCCTGTTCATGGTCCCATTTTAATTAACTTTTATGCTGATTTATTTAATAACTTCATAACATAATGAACTCTCATAAATCTAACAAGAAGCTCAGGAATTAAAATACTACTGGGAATTTATATCTACACCTGTGCCCCTCCTACCTCTCCTTCCTCTGCTTCCCCCTCCTGAGTTTCATTTTTATCACTAACATATTTATCCACACATACATATAAACATTTGTTGGAAAAGTCTACTGTAGTTCTGTTAAACTTGATGAAGGGTCCTATGCTGTATCTATCTTCTGGGCCGGTGTTTTCACTATCATGTTACAAGTCATCCACACTGTCACACATAGCTAATCTATTCTTGCTGTGTACAACAGATTCTGCTGTGGATATATTATAGTTGTTTTATGTAGAACCTGTTTAGATTTACTCATGGCCTATATTGTCTTTAAGCTTTCCTAACCATGGAAAGCCTTAAAAAGCACAGCTGACATCCACACAGCTCAGCAAATTTTCCTTGGGTCAAAGTTGGCTGTGATACCCTGTATACTACTCTGGGTTTTGCCTTCCTTTAGTTTGGCTTTGGAATACTAACTTCCCTTCCCAGGCCATTGATCCATTTGAGAAGATGTTTTAACAATTTTATCCATTTGTTCAGATATTTTCTGCCTGAGAGCTGATGCAGGTGCCTTGCTTGCCATATGACTGAAAACAGAAGTCCCATATTTTTATTTGTCATGATGGAAAAGAAACACATTACAATTAAAAGCTTTGACTAAATCTGCTAAAATAATATTTTAGCAAAGTTTTACAAACTGCTGAGTCAAATGATTTAAATCAGTGATGACTGCATCAACAATTTCATCAATATTAGTAAGTCTTGGACTGTACCTTTGTTACTGCATGGGACAAATAGAACTGTAAGTCAGAAAGCAAAAGATGAAAAAGGCCGGGTACTTTATTTTTAATGACTAAAATGTTTTAAGCAGCAAAAAATATTTGATTCTGAACCACTTTATACTTGAGGGCTTGTGTGCCTTCAACAGTGTTGGCTAAAATACCTGCATGCAGGAAATGGCCCGGGTGGGCACCTAGTGGAGAAAGCAGTGACCTATTGGTTGCTTATGCCACACCAGACCTCAGCAGGGAGCTGTGGGACACTATGGCCCGGCTGCTTTCTCATCTGACTGTGCATCCTCGTGGAGGAGAAAATAAGCCATCTGATGAGGCTGACCACCCACATGGCAAGAATGTCTACAGGGGTGGACACTGCACCTGGGACCCCTGGCTTCTTGCAGGTCTCCTGCCTTCTTGGAGAAGCATGTGTTCAGGGCCACTGAGTGCTTGCACCTCTGCTGTCTATGTGCAGTCAGCAGTGTGTCACTTGTCCTCACAACCCCCACCAGCCTCTGCTCACTAGGCCCTGCTTCTTAGCCTAGGACTAAGTGGATAAATCTGAGTCTCTGAAGGTCCAGAAATCTAGTTTCTATTTTGTGCCCAGTTCTCTGAAAAAACACTTACAGGAGAAGGAAGAATGGGTGATGCTGATCTTTTACAGTGAGTTGATAAGAGGTTAACATGAAGAAAGAGTTCTTCTCAGAGAGCTGAAAGCTCCTATCCACAGGCATTGCTTACCAGTGCCAGAAAGCCCTGTGCTAGGACTCTGGAGAACCCTTCCAGCCAGCGTGCCATGTGGGATCCAACTATCCTTGCATTCTTGTGGCACTTTTCCTAATGAAGCCACTTACAAGGACACTGATGGAAGCTGGAGCCTTCAATTCTGCATCTAGTCCTGCTGTGTTTCTTTAGACAAATCAATGACCACATCTGTCCTCTGCTTCCCCTTCTGTGACAGAAGGGCTGCAGTGGATCGTTACAAGGGTCCCTTGTCAAAGGGTCTGAGACCCCATGGCTGACCTTCCTCATGCTTCTGTGACAGGGAAGCATACAACACTGATGGGAAAGCCTCCAAATACTTCCATCATCAAATAGTGTTTTAGGAGAAAAGATGCATTTGAATGTGATTTCAGTAATTGTAAACAAGTGGCCCCCAGCACCAATGAGCAGAGCCGCCCCCAGCACCAAGGAGGAGGTGAGCCTTCCAGGCTTCCATACCACTGCCCCCAGTGCTGAGGAGGAACCTTCTGGGCAGCTGAACCACCACCTCGAGTGCAGAGGAGGTGAGCCACGGGCACCAGCAGCAGCCCCCCCCCAATGAAATGAGAAGTCATGTAAACAAATCTCAAAACCAAAC